AGCTATTCATGAACCAAACAACAATGTAAAAAACAACAACAATGAGAACAAAAAAATTAAACCCGAAAATGGTGTTAAATTGGGCACCAGCGAATATTAGATACCCTTCAGGGGGCATGGTGGCCAATTTCTCTGATACCATGGCCATTCATGACAAAATTGTCAATGGCCAGAGGGCAAAGAAAGAGTTGCAGTGGATTAGATGATGTGTGTAAAATGAAAGGGAAGGGGGTAAAACCGGAGGGGATGAGCAAAACTTATATTGCGAAATTTCCTATTGTAATTCGGTATTTGAAATTGGGATATGTTTAAATTTCAAATTGGATTTTACAAAATGTAACAGAGAAAAGAGTGGTGAGGGAAGGAGAGGGGAAGAGTGTAAGAGGGAGGGAGTGAAAGAAAATTGCATTTGATTTTATTTGATTTGAAAAATTTATTTCAAACTTGCCAAACGAACATTTAAAATTAGAGGTTGGAACAGCGATGTCGGGGGTAAATTTTTATCCCTCGAGAAGTCCTGTAAAAAATCTTTAAGAAGTCCCTAGAGGACCTTTAGATGTTCTTTTTAGTATAGGAGGCATTTTTCCTATAGATGTTCTTAAATGGCCTTTAACATTTCAAAAAAGCGATAATTATGACTAAAACTGCAAAAGGCTACTCAACTTCTGTGGCGGCTGTTGTGAAATTGCAAATCGTGTTTGAGATTCTAGTCTTGCTCTCTTCCCGCCGCCACCACTCATGTTCATGCTGCGTTTGCCCTTTTCTATTGTTTTTTTTTTTTGGTATCGCTGTAGAGGGAAGGTTTTTATCCCTGGAGAAGTCCTGTGAAAAATAAGTTAAGAAGTCCTAGAGGACCTTTAAATGTTCTTTTTAGTATAGGAGGCATTTTTCATATAGATGTTCTTAAATGGCCTTTAACATTTCAAAAATCTCTGTTGAATGTATATCCTATATCTTTATCACAGATTCCTGAGAGATGTCCTATGAGCAGAGGACCCTAGAAGGACTTCAGTGCATAGAAAAGGTTCAAGAAAACCTCGGGAAGGTCGGCTATGTTTAGAATACCTTTGTAAAAACTGCTATCCATATGAGCCCTTGGGAAGGTCTCTATTGTTTTTGACGATATTCTGAAGGCTTTTTGTATTCTAAAAAAAATATGTTCTATGTTTAGAAAACTGTGGGACGTATTCTGCTTTTAAAAAAACATCTAGAAGATGTTCTATGTTTTGAACATGTCAGGAGGTCATTCCGAAATTGTCTATAATTTCTGATATTTTTAAAAGGCATCAGGGATGTCTTTTATTTATAAAAGACTTTTCGAAAGTTTTATAAGTTTAAAAGATCGTTGACAGGACTTCTATACTTTGTAAGGCTCGTTCAATGTTTTCTATGTTTAGAAGACCTATGCAGGGTCTTCTGTATTGTGTAGGTCGGAGAAGGTATTCCATGACTAAGACACCTCTGGAAGGCTCCTATATTTAGAAGAACTCTGGAAGATCTTCTATGTTTTGTAAAGCTTGTACCTCAGCAAGCTTTTCTATGTTAAGAATACCTCGTGAAGGTCTTTCCTTTGTATCTACGAATATCTTTGGAAGGTCGTCTATGATTAGAAGGCATCTGGAAGGATATGAATGTATAGTAGAGGTTTCCTGAACCCTAAAAGCTCTTCAGTGCATAGAAAAGGTTCAAGAAGACCTCGGGAAGGTGGTCTATGTTGGATGACCTTTTTAAGAACTTCGTGAAGGTCTTTTGTTTCTTGAAGACTTTCGGAAGGTAACTTATTCGAAGAAAAGAATCCTGTGAAAAGTATTCTATTAAAAAAAAATATCTGGAAATGTTCTATGTTTTGAAGACCTTATAGGGTCTTTTATGTTCAGAAGTCCTTTAAAAGATCTGAAAATTTTAAAATACATTATGGATATCTTCTTTTCTTGTAGATAACATCAGAGAGGCTTGAAAGTTTTGATAAGTTTAAAAGACCGTTGAAAGGAATTCTATGTTCTGAAGGTCTCGTGGTATCTGGTAGTTCTTGTATGTTTTGTGGGGTCGCCGAAGGTATTCCATGATTAAAACACCTCTGGAAGGCTCCTATGTTTAGAAGAAAGTCTTCTATGTTTTATAGAGCTGTTCTATGTTTAAAAGACCTCTGCAAACTTTTCTATGTTGAGGAGACCTCCGGAACGTTCTTCAATGTTTAGAAGACCTCTTGAAGCTATTCGGAGTTTAGAAGACTTCTGGAATTTCTTCTTTGTCTAGGAGATCCCTAAAAGATATTCTGTGTTTAAAAAATCTCGGGAAGATATTCTATGTTTAGAGGAGCTCTTTAAGATATTCTGTGTTTAAAAGACCTCTGGAAGGATGTGATTCTATGTTTATTACATCTCGGTATGATATTCTATATTTAGAAGACCTCTGGAAAGTCTTCTAAGTTTAGATGGTCTCTGCAATGTCTTCTATGTTTGGAAGACCTAAGTTTAAAATACCTCTGCAGGCTTTACTATGTTAAGAAGACATCTAAAAGAACTTATATGTCTAGAAGATCTTTGGAACGACTTTTTTTGTCTAACAGATCTCTGTTTGTTTAGAAGATCTCGGGAAGGTATTCTATGTTTAGAAAATTTCTGGAAGATATTCTATGTTTAGAAGACCTCTGAAAGTTCTTCTAAGTTTAGAAGACCTCTGAAAATTCTTTTAAGTTTAGAAGACCTCTGGAAGGTCTTCTATATTCTACAATGTCTTCTATGTTTTTAAAACCTCTACAATGTGTCTTCTATTTTTGAAGGAAATTTAAAAGATATTCTATGTATAGAAAATCTCGGGAGTATATTCTATATTTAGAAGACCTGTGGAAGGTCACTGGAAGATATTCTATGTTTAGAAAATCACGAGAAGATATTCTGTTTAGAAGACTTCTGAACGTTATCTCATGTTTAGAAGACCTCTGGACAATTTTCTAATTTTGCAAGGCCTCTGGAATGCCTTCTATGTTTTAAGACTTCTGGAAGGTCGTCTATGTTTAGAAGACCTCTGCAATGTCTTCTATGTTTTGCAGCGTCGTGGAAATTATTCTATGTTAGAAAGAGCTCTTGAAGGTCTGCTATGTTAAAAAGATACTTTGAAGTGTCATCTTCCGTTGCAGACCTTTTTTCAGAGCCTCTGTCTAGGAAATCCTCGTGTCTCTTTAATTGGCAGAAATCCTCTCAATGATGTTCTATATACGGAAGAGGTCTGAAAGGCTCTTTTTTGTTGAAAGTCTCTTTAAGTTCTTCGATTCATTGACTACCTCTCGAAAAATACCTTTTATAGTTCTTCTATCTAAGGAGGAGCTCTTGAAGACCTACAACATATTGAAGATTCCTAGAAGCTGTCTTTTTTGTAGTTATCTCATCTGTAGAATACTACCGCTCGGCTGCATATTATCTGCCGAAAACTTCGCGAAGGACTGTATTGGATATTAAAGATCTCTTGAAAGATGTTCTCCTAAAAAATACGTTTTGTCTATCTTCTGTCTTGAGGCTCTCATTTATAGAAAATCTCTCCAAGACATTCCATCTGTGGAAGATCACTTCAAGATCTTCTATCTGTGGTAGATCGTTTGAAGGGTCATTTAAAGTAAATTTTTCTATTACAGACCTATCTATGGCCTTCTGTCTGAAAAAGGTCTCTCGATGGCCTTCTGTCGGTAGAAGACCTCTTTCAAATATTTTTATCTACTGAATATTTTTTCTGGTCTACTAACAGTATTAGAATTTTTGAAATATATTGCGAAGGCAATCTGTCTCTGAGATTTTTTCTAATGGGAGACCTCTTCCTGGTCTTCTGTCTCTTAAAAATCTCCTCAGGTCTTTTCATCTCTAAATTATATCTGAAGAGTCTTTTATCTGTAGCAGACATATTTATGTGTTTATAACTGTTGAAATCCCTTTTTAAAATATTCTGTCAATCTTCTATCTACGGAGGACATCTAGAAGGTCTAGTGTCTATGGGCACCCTTTGGAAAAAAAAAATATTTCTTTTGGACGACTTCTATTTCGATAAGGCCACGTTACATATGTAAGAGCTTTCTATAAATTATTATGTTTCTAAATAACCTCTCGGAGGTTCTTAAACAGGTTCTATTCGTGGGTGGCCCATGGGAGTCCTCCTATTAAAAAAATAACTCCAACAGATCCCCAGTACCAAAAAATGTTTCTCTGTTGCCAAATCTGATACATTTCTGTTGCCACAGTCCTTAAATACCTCCCCCAAAATAGCAGGCTACCTTAAATACCATTCGTCCTGATTCCGCTTTGTCCAGCTTTCATCCTATTAAGTTAATTTTCAATACCGGATTTTTTTCGTTTTTTAGCTTTTCCCAAAAAATATTTAAAATTGCCTTTAGCTTATCTGCCCAAATACAGCTGTAGGGTAAGAGGTTAAAAAAATATTAAAAAAAAAAAAAAAACAACCACCAAATCTAACCGAAAAAATCAGTATCGTTATATGCTGCTGCCGAACAGGCATACCTCTCAATCCTGCTCCAGTGGCATAAATAAAAACTCACATATATCAAATGCTCCAGCAATGATTTATGCATTTTAAAGCTGATTTTGTTTTTAACTTCGACCAGTGCACAAAGCAGCAGATCGCACAGCGTTTGCAATTTTTTATGTGTTTGCATAAGTGTGAGTGTGCAAGTGTGTGTGTGTTTAGTGTTCGACAGTATCTAGTGGTTAGACATATCTGGCGTTCTATGATTTTTTTCAACTTCGGTCTCTGAGGGCAGTGCAAATCATGGAAAATCCTTTTCCATTAAAGCTCATTCACCCACACCGCAACAATGAACGGCATTAGTCGCAATCATACGCTGACACATATGTATGTTGCTGGTCTAGAGATATGGCTATGCATATATGTATGTTTGTGTGTAAATATGCTCTCTAACCTAAGCTAATCTAACCCCCGCCCCACCACCACAACCATAAATAATCTTTCAATCTCTCTGTTTGTTTTTTTTTCAGATATCATCCATGCCGCACGAGGTGTCCACCAAATGGAAATCAGCTCATTGGTCAGCGAGGAATTACAACCGGTGGTCCAGCTGAAAACCGCAGCTGTTGTCCTTAAACCCACTGAAGCCAAGATATCGCCGCTAAGTGCCACACGTGATGTCATTCCCGAGGGCAGGCAAATCTATCAGAACCTCCTGACATATTCACTGAACGTGGGCAAGGCCATGGAGGTGGCCATCTATGCGCCCATCTTCAACGCCGTCCTCTACGAGGCCGAGTTCGAGTCACAGCTCTGGATGATTTTCGATGCCAACAAACACATGGTGGCCTGTGGCGATGCCAACTCGCACAAATTCTACACCAAACTGGACAAGGGGGAGTACTGCATTCGGCTGCAGATACGCCACGAGAAACGTGACCTGCTGGAGAAGGTCAACGAGGCCAATATGGTGGCCCTGTTCAAGCTGCCGAGCAGCCTAAATCTGGATGTTTACGATCAATATAATCAGTGTGTGATAGCGGGACGCAAGTTCAATTATTGCACCGTCAAACAGGATTGTCCCAAGGTGTTGTACATCGCACCATTGGCTCAGGACAAGCTGTCAAAGGCTAATTTACCAGCTAATGCCGCCTGGTTGAGTGGCAGCATTACATTGGCCAAGGATGAGGTGGGTCGCAAGGCGGACGTACAGGAAGTCACATACATTTTGAATCCACCCGATGCGGGGAAAAAGAATGGTGGCGGAAGTGGTAACGGTGGTAGTTCATCATCGAGCGGTGCGTCCAGTTTCAGTTCGAATGCGGCCAATGCCAAGTCGTCAAAAACGACGACCACTGGTGGCACATCCCCACCAGCATCTTCAGCCAATGCAGGTGACGCCACTGCACCAGCTTCACCCAAAAAATCCAAAACTTCCACTGATGAATATGCAGAGAGTTTGCGTGACTTCCAGTGTTCCATGCTGACCAAGTTGGGTGAGTAGGGGGAAGGGGGGCTTAAAAAATCATTTTTTGATTAGAATAGAGTAAAACTTTAAAATTTTAAGTTCTGAAATATTTTTTTAGGATTAATTATCAATTCATAGAAAATTCCCAATAGAAACCTAAAAAACTGGACAGAGGTAAATCAAGGTATTCAAGGTATTTTTGGAATAGAAGACGATCAAAATTAAAATGACCTTTAAGAGATCGTCTTTGGAAAGAAAATTTTTGGGGAATCGTCTTTGAAAAGAGGAGAGGAAAAAGGGGTGGATAGAAGACTTCCATAGAAAAAAGTCCTTAAAAAAGTCTTCTAAAAATTGAAGATCTTAAATAGATTGTCTGTGGCCAGAAAACCGTAACGAGGATTCTATGGATAGAAGACTTTCTAGAGATTTCCTATTGGTAGAAAAGCTTCCATAGAAAATGTTAAGGTATAGACAATGGAAGTCCTCAATGTCATATATAGACATTAGAGGACCTCGAGGTTTTCTACTGTCCTTAGAAGTTCTTGAGGCTTTCTACTGCCCATAGAAGACCTAAAGGACTTGAGGTCATCTACTATCCATAAAAGACTTTAAGGTCTTCTGCTGTCCATAGCTTAAGGTCTGCTATGGACAGCAGAATACATTAAAGTCTTTTATGGATAGTAGATGACCTCAAGACGTTCAGGTCTTCTATGGCCAGTAGAAAGCCTCAAGGACTTCTGCTGTCCATAGCAGACCTTGAGGTTCTCGACTGTCCCTAGAAGACCTTAAGGTCTTCTTCTGCTGTCCATAGAAGACAATGAGGCCTTCTTCTGTTGTCCATAGAAGACCTTGAAGTCTTCTGCTGTCCATAGAAAACCTTGAGGTCTTCTGCTGCTGTCCATAGAAGACAATGAGGCCTTCTTCTGTTGTCCATAGCAGACCTTGAGGTCTTCTGCTGCCCATAGCAGACCTTGAGGTCTTCTGCTGCCCATAGCAGACCTTGAGGTCTTCTGCTGCCCATAGAAGACCTTGAATACTTCTGCTGCCCATAGAAGACATTGAGGTCTTCTACTGTCTAAAGAAGACCTTGAGGTCTTCTACTGTCTATAGAAGACCTTGAGGTCCATAGAAGATCTAGAGGTCTATAGAAGACCTAGAGGACTTCCTTTGTCCATAGAAGTCCGTGAGGTCTTCTGCTGACCAATGAAGACCTTGAGGTCTTCTGCTGTCCACAGAAGACCTTGAGGTCATCTACTGTGTTTGAAAAAATACCTTCAAGACGTCTTCTGTGAATAGAAGGCCCATCACGGATAGAAAATCTTCATGAGGTCTTCTATGGATAGATGATCTTTAAGTGATCTGTGGACAGAAGGCTCCCATGGATAGAGAACATTCACGGGGCCTTACATGGATAGAGGACCTATAGTTATAAGATCTGCGAGATAACTTCTTTATATAGAAGACCCTCAATAGGTTTTCTATGAATTGAAGACTGTCAAGAGGTCTTTTGTGCATACAAGACCTACAAGAGGTCTTCGATGGTCCAAAGATCTTCAAGAGGTATTCTATGGATAAAAGACCTTCAAGGGACTTCCATGGATAGAAGACCTTCAGGTGGTCTTCCATGGTTAGAATACTTTCAAGAGGCTATTTAAGATTAAAAGATCTTCATGGGGTCTTCTAAGATCAAAAAACTTCAAAAAACCTGCTATGGATAGAAGGTCTTCATTAAGGGTCTTCTTTAGAGAAAAAAAACCTCCAAGAGTTCTTCTATGAATAGTAGACCTTCTAGACGTCTATTATAAAAAAAAGACTTTCAAGACGTCTTCTATGCCTACAAGTCCTGCATGATGTCTTCTAGGGCTAGAGGGCCGTTAAGAGGTCTTCCAAGACGTTTTCTGTGGATAGAAGTCTTTCTAAAGATCTTCTTTAGATAGAAGACCTTCAACAGGTCTTCTATGGGGAGAAGACCTTCAGAAGGTCTCCTATGGGGAGAAGACCTTCAGAAGGTCTCCTATGGCAGGTCGTTTTGAGATAGAAGATGTCGTCGGCGGTAGAAGACCTTCCAGAGAACATCTGTGCACTTCAAGAGCACTTTTATGGAGAAAAGACCTTTAAGATGGATTCTGTAGCTAGGAGTCCTTCAAGTTCTAGGCTTCAGGAAGCCTCTTTAATGAAGAAGATATTCAAAGAGGGATCTACCTTAAAGACCTTTAGGAAAACTTCTATTTGTAGCACCTCTCCTGAGTATTATCCGAAATATGGATCGAAAGGTGCCCCATAGATAGAACAGTTATTAGAGATCCTTTACATTTCGAAGACCTTCAAGAGGTTTTCTGTATGTCTTCTATTCTCAAAATTGTTTATATGGAGATAGAAGACCTTTCGTGGCAAATATCCTTTTAAAGCATACTATCTATGGCAGAGCTATTGAAAACATCTTTCCAAATACAAATTTTATAGACTTCCGATTTTATGAAATCTTTAAAATTAAAGAACTTTGCTATGGACCCAAAAACAATCCAATTAATTTATATTTTTGTATGCCATCCTTCATCCTAATCCTCATTACTTAATGCTCCAAATGTCCAAAAAAAAGCGAAAAAAAAACCTGTTGCCGACATTTGTCTCGAATGAGAACAAAATCCAACATCTAAACCAAATGAGATCTCATTGCCAAATCCGTTGTCGTTGGCCGTTCACATGCTTCCCTCCGAGGGTTAGGGGATAAACAGCATTGTTTGTCTTAGCCCCTCTGCCCCACTCCCCAGGAGCTAAATTGAAAATTAACATTTAAGGCTTAAGTGATGAAGAAAAACCTCATTAAATTCGGCCCACTTAATTTCTGCGAGAATTTCATTTCATTTCATTTAAATGTGCAACAAGAAGCATTGTTACAACACGAGTGGTGGCCGCCTGGCACTGTTGCCGATGTAGCAGCTGGCTGTCGCCGCTGTTGGCTGGCTGGCTGGCAATGAACGAACGACAAGTAGTTGGGGAAGCAGAAGAAACGAGAAAAAAAATAAGTCGAGAAATCTGCCATTGTTACCAACAGTGTCATCACTCATTCATTCTATCAGCAGTGCCACGAAAATTATTTTAATACATGAACGATGGAAGAAGAGGAAGAGCATTGGAGGGAGGGAGGGGCGGAGGCAGGGGAAGGTTTTCAACATTTGCCAACTTAATTAATATCGTATTATTATCTCTTTTCATTTTGTTGCTTCTGTTTTATGGCTCATATTGTTTTTCGTCCTTTTCATTGGGCATTTCGGCTTGTTTTTTTAATCTGCGTTCCGCTTGAATAGTCTGACAAGGCTGCCAGGCTGGCAAACAGACTGGCAGTCCGAACGTTAAACAGCCAGTCAGGCTGATTGTCAATTTATGCTCGGCCATCCTTCCAATTGGTCATAGCCATGGATTGGTTTATTCCGCATAATTGCACCAGAAATACGCTGTCGGAACGCAATTTCGAAATAACGCCGCCAATCCAATAACAATGGCGCGATGAAGAGCATGACGATGAGGACGAAGGCTTCAATACTGAGAATGAGGATGATGAAGATGATGATGCCAAGATGAGCTCTGGTTTCGAGCTCTTTTGCGGTTCTTTGTTCTCTTCTTCTTCTGTTTGTTTACAACATTTAATTTTTGATTTCTTTTTCCCATCACCAGGACTTTTTTTCAGCATTACTTATTTTTTGTATTTCCTTTCTTCCGTTGTTTTATCCTTGCAGAACTTGAAAAAGCTGAAAAAATCTACGAGGACATAATTGCTGGACATCCCAAACATTTGGCTGCTCATTTACTTCTCATACAGAACATTGAATCATCGTCCGAATTGAAGGCACAATATCCGTTTACATTTGCCAAGTCATTAAATGCACCAAACAGCAGCAATGCAACGGGATCCGCCACCACCACCACGTCAACCACAGCTCAGGAGGAATCATCATCAGCAGCATTGTCTGGCAGTGCCAGTGGCTCTACTGGCTCCGGCTCAAGTGCCGAGGATAAACAAAAGGAAGATAATCAAAAATTGCGCAATGCTCTCGAACGCATTGTTTTGTTGGCGGACAATGTCATTAGGGACACTGATAAAGATGCATTGTTGGCATACTATGGCATTAAATGCGATACTCGTCCTGATGCCGCAAAGATTAAAACGTAAGTTGAATTTATACTAGCATAATGAAAGTACAACGACGTAGAAGAGGGGAGGGGGGGAGGGAACATGGTGCGGGATGGGGAGGGGTTTGGGTAACATCATCGGCCAAAGAGAATGCATAAATGTCAAGGCAGAGACAGCATCAATCTTGGTACCACGATTATTAACCCTTAAAGTGCGGAAAGGAATTTTTGTAAAACTTAAGTAAATTTAACTCCGAAGATTTCGCAACAGATGCAAAAGCTTCAACAGGTCTATCGGGGGATGGAAGGCCTCCTATAAGTCTGTTGAAGTTATTAGATTTTGTTTAAGGCCACAAGGTCTTCTGTAGGCTGTAGAAGACTTCAAGGTCTTCTATAGGCAGTAGAAGACTTCAAGGCCTTCTATAGGCAGTAGAATACTTCAAGGTCTTCTATAGGCAGTAGAAGACCTCAACGTCTTCTATAGGCATTGGAAGACCTCAAGGTCTCCTATAGGCAGTAGAAGACATCAAGGACTCCTATAGACAGTAGAAGACCTCAAGGTCTTCTATAGACAGTAGAAAACACCATAGAAGACCTCCAGCTCTTCTATCGACCATAGAAGACCTCCAGCTCTTTTATCAGCCATAGAAGACCTCCAGCTCTTCTATCGACCATAGAAGACCTCAACGTCTTCTATAGGCATTGGAAGACCTCAAGGACTCCTATAGACAGTAGAAGACCTTCTATGGACCATAGAAGACCTCCAGCCCTTCTATGGACCATAGAAGACCTCCAGCCCTTCTATGGACCATAGAAGACCTCCCGCTCTTCTATCGACCATAGAAGACCTCCAGCTCTTCTATCGACCATAGAAGACCTCCAGCTCTTCTATAGACCATAGAAGACCTCCAGCTCTTCTATAGACCATAGACGAGACCTCCAGCTCTTCTATCGACCATAGAAGATCTCCAGCTCTTCTATCGACCATAGAAGACATCCAGCTCTTCTATGGATCATGAAATACCTCCAGCTCTTCTATCGACCATAGATGACCTCCAGCTCTTCTATAGACCATATAAGTCCTCCAGCTCTTCTTTAGACCATGAAATCTTTCAAGCTCTTCTATAGATCATGAAATCTTTCAAGCTCTGTAGAAACGAGTCCTTTTCTTTTTGAAAATTGAAATGCTGCCTCAGATCTACCGAGGCGCCCTTAATGTGACCCCCTCCCCATGCGATAGGGTTAATGCAACTCCACCATATTGCTGGAATGTTGTAGCCAAAGGAGCCTACTTGGTGCCTGCTGTTGCTTGTGTTTGTGTGTATGTGCGCGTTTGTGGCCGTATGGCGTTGCTTTCGCTTGTCATGAACAGGTCCTCTCCAGAGCGAACAGGGAATAATAATTATTTGTGGTGTAGTCGAACAGCAATATTCAAACTGCAATATTCCAGCTGGTGCTCTTTTATACCCCACCCTCCTGGGCATTATTACTTTGGCAAGCCGTAGTTGGTCCTTGGTCCAGGGATATCAAGCTGGCTGGCTGGCTGCCTGGCTTGCTTGCATTTACTGACATTTTAATTGTGATAAGAGATACCGAATGGGGAAACACAGGAAATGTAAACACATTAACGGTAAATAAACCCATAATCATGCACAGAGACACACAAACACAGCGGGAGAAAGCCAGGATGCATCTTCACAATGTTGGAGTTGTTGTTGTTGCTGTCTTCATTGTTGTCCCATGCACTTGAATAACCCTCTCAACCTCCCTCTTCCCCCGCGCACTCAAATTGGAACGTAATTGTAATACACATCTTTGTGTTCGCAATTATCTCTGTTGGCAGCCCAGAGTCCCTTTTGTTGTTGGAAAATAATATAAACAACAACTTTGCCACCAAATTACAACAAACCATCAGAGATAAGAAAGTTTTTTATTAAAGCGTAAAAAAGGACAAAAATTACACAAAACTAAAGAAGAAAAGAAAAACAACGCCCAGGCACATAAATATATTGGGAAACCCTTTACCCCCACCCTCGTCCTCGTCCACAACATTTTGGCCAAGCCTTATCAAAGCCGCTTTTCTTCTTTTCGGTGTGTTGGTGTTGTTATTGTTATTTTGATTTTCTTATTCTCTGTTCCAAGAAGAGATTTTGAGCATTTCATCCATTCATTGTGCCGACGGCAAAGCCAAATCATTTGACTGTAGCAATTTCAGTTGCCCGCCATGAATAGAAAATTAAATCCCATTCTGGCGCCAAATAAATTGCCGCTGTTATCAACAACATTAAGAGAGCCGGCTAACAGATTTCTGAATAACTTACGCCATACATATTCTCTCTCACTCTCCCATAACACAACAGAGCATGCGCTAACAATTTTATCGCATAATACAACTGTTAACTGTGATAGAGAATAGTTCTGTATTTCTCTTATACGCTATAAAATAAATATTTTCTTGCATGTTAGGGAAACATTGAATGCTCTCTCCGTTGATGAAAATTATTGAGAGCAACAATTCAAGAGAGTTTGGTAGAGAGTTCTAACAACTACTGTAATTATAATTAAGCAAAGGAAGCCTAAAGGAAATATTAAGGGTCTGATGTATATGTATGTATGTCTGTATGTATGTATGTTTGTATGTATGTTTGTATGTATGTATGTATGTATGTATGTATGTATGTAAGTATGTATGTCTGTTTGTTTGTACGTATGTATGTATGTATGTCAATGAAATTAATGCGAATATAAAACACTAATTTTGTGTGTGTTTTTTTTTTCATTTTTGATTTTAATTTTAGAAAGAAAAATTTCAAAATCTGAAAAACACGCATTGAGTTGGCGTTGCTCTTTCGCATTAATTTTTACTTCGTCATACAAAAACAGGACCTTATGAACATTTTAGAATATATTTTCAAAATTGTATGAAGGCAAGAATATTTTGGGATTTCTTATATTTTTGAATCCCTTGACCAATTTTTAAAAACGCTTTGTTTTTCAAAAAAAAAAAAAAAAAAAAATGACATCGGTCATAGTTAAAAATCGAAAATACTTAGCTTTAGAATTTTACTGTGTAGACGACTAAAAAGAACTTTTGTTCAGAAGACTGCATGGATTTTAGAAGGACACAAGATTTTTTTCTCTTATGGAAAACCAAAAGGCCTTCTGCTATTGATGACCACAAGCGTCCTTTTTTAAAGATAACCACAGGGTCTACATCCATAGATGACTACAAGGTCTTCTCCCAGCCTTTTATGAGCTCTTCTTCCATAGAAGACCACAAGATTATATTCCACAAGGTATTTTTCAATCGAAAACCACTTGTTCCCATTCCACACGCTTTTCTTCCACAGAAAACCACAACATCTTTTCCATTGAATCTTCCATAGAAGACCACACAGTAGGATCTACAGTAGGATACCTCAATGTCATCTATAATACAAGATCCCAAGGTCTTCTACTATAGAAAAACACAAGGTCTTCTACTATAGAAAAACACAAGGTCTTCTACTATAAAAGAACACAATGTATTCTACTATAGAAGAGCACAAGATCTTCCACTAGACAAAACCACGAGGTCTTCTCCCATATAGACCACTACGTCTTCTTTAGAAAACCACAAGATCTTCCATAGAACACAAAAATGTTTTCTTCCATAGAAGATCCCAATGTCTCTTTCCAAAAAATAACACTAGTTCCTCTGCTATAGAAAGCCATATGGTCTTCTTCTATAGAAGATCACATGGTCTTCTTCTATAGAAGACCACAAGGTTTTTTTTCTATAGAAGACCACAAGGTCTTCTTCTATAGAAGACCAGAAGGTCTTCTTCTATAGAAGACCAGAAGGTCTTCTTCTATGGAAGACCACAAGGTCTTTTTCTATAGAAAACCACATTGTCTTTTTCTATAGAAAACCACATTGTCTTTTTCTATAGAAGACTCCAAGGCCTTCCTCTATAGAAGACCACAAGGTCTTCCTCTACTGTAGTCCACCAGTCCTTCTTCTATAGAATACCACAAGGTCCTCTTCCATAGTAGGAGATCACAAGGTCTTCTTTTATAGAAGACCACAAGGTCTTCTTCTACAGAAGACCACAAGATGTTCTATAGAAGACCACAAGGTCTTCTTCTATAGAAGATCACATGATCTTCTTCCATAATGTATTCTTCTATTGGGGTTTCTCCCAAAGAGATAACAAGATCTTCATCCATGCAAGACCACCGAGTCGTCTTCTGTGGAAGACCTCAAGATATTCTATAGAAGACCTCAAGGTTTTCTTCCGTAGAAGAACACAAGGTCTTCTTCTATAGAAGAGCACAAGGTTTTCTTCCATAGAAGATCACAAGGTCTTCTTTCATAGAAGACCACAAGGTCTTCTTCCATAAAAGAACACAACGTTTTCCTCCATGGAAACGCAAGGTCTTCTTTCACAGAAGACAACAAGGGCTTCTTCTAAAGAAGACCACAAGGGCTTCTTCTAAAGAAGACCACAAGGTCTCCTTCTATAGAAGACTATGAGGTCTTTTCTATAAAAGACCATTAGGTCTTCTTCCGATCCTTTTCTATAGAAGACCAGAAGATCTTCTACTATAGAAGAACACAAGGTCCTCTACTGTAGAAGACCACATGGGCTACTACTATAGAAGACCACAAAGTCTTCTTCTATAGAAGACCACAAGGTCTTCTTCCATAGAAGACCACAAGGTCTTCTTCCATAGAAGACCACAAGGTCTTTCTCAGAAGACCGCAAGGTCTTCTTTCACAGAAGACCACAAGGTGTTCTTCTATAGAAGACCACAAGGGCTTCTTCTAAAGAAGAACACAAGGTCTCCTTCTATAGAAGACCATGAGGTTTTCTTTTATAGAAGACCGTGAGGTCTTCTTTTATAGAAGACCGTGAGGTCTTCTTCCGTGGAAGACCAGAAGATCTTGTACTATAGAACAACACAAGGCTACTACTATAGGAGACCACAAAATCTTCTTCTATAGAAAATCACAAGGTCTTCTTCTACAGAAGACTAGAGGATCTTCTTCCGAT